TTTTCTTATTAAGGCTTCGTCCCAGCCCATCACGGAGGCCATTGTATGCGATGATGAGGACACCACGGATGCTTATACTCAGGAGTTCGACGAGACCATGGTGAGAAAATATTTTTGACTTAACACGTACATTACTAATATACATTTTCATATGCTAAGCTTAGTAATTGTTTTGTAGGTTGCTGATGGATCGACGGCCCCCTCTACCGATCCTGCCAGTTGTACTATCGATGTTGCTGTGCATCCTCACATAAAGAGGCGACTTGATGATGATGATCCTGATAGTGTACCCGGACGACATGGGATGCGACTCAGGCCAGCGGCTGCATTGAAGCACACAGGCTGCGGGACTCATTGATTTATTTTTGTTTGTGTTTTGTGTAAATACTACATTATGTAAATAATGGCAAGAATTGTATTTTAACAACACTCTTATTTTAACAGAATTTGAACAACAATTTTATTTTAATAGTACAACACAAACACAAACATAGCAAACCTAAAGATACACATAACAAACACAAACAGTACAACTAATGAAAAAACATGACAAGGGAAACATAAAGAGACACTACTACGCTCAACACGTACATGTCATTGTTTCATTGTTTAGTCACGACCGCCTAGTATTCTCTGCTCCAACCACTTGAGTTGGTCTTCCAGCTTTTTTTCTTCTTCCACCTTCTTGAGTTTCGCCTTCAACTCCGCAACTTCTTGTTTGGATTTTCGCTCTCTTTCCCACTGCTTCAAACACAAATTATGAAGATCTTGGAGCTTGTCTTTGTACTATTCCTGCTGACAGGGTTCAAACACAAAACGTAGTATTATACCACGCTTTAAATATTAATTTTTTATGAAACAAAATAGCTTTTTCGTAGTCGGTTCAGCTTTTTTCAGAACGACAAGACAACACACAAAACGTAGTATTATACCATGCTTTACATATTAAATTTTTCTGAAACAAAATAACTTTTTCGTAGTCGGTTCAGCTTTTTTCAGCACACAAAACGTAGTATTATACCACGCTTTACATATTAAATTTTAAAAAGGATAATAAAAGATGTGTTGATTTTATAGGTTTTTTTTTTGTAATTTTTAGATTCATCTTCATTACTAACACAAATAAGTTGAATATTTGAACAACCATATCAGCATCCCAATTCAGAAGGTCATGTTAAAAAATAAGATGTAACAATATTATGGAACATAATTTTATTTGATAGATATTGCAACATACACAAGTACAGACACGTATTACAAAAAATAATACGAAAACAAAAGATTAGATGTATTCTTGATAGTTGGGTACATTGGACGAACTTGCACCAGGAGCTAGATTACCACTGCCACACACACCACCTGAAGGACATTTACGATGGTCGTGTCCTGTTTACGAGCATATGCCACATTTACGCGCATAAACGGTGTCACCAACATCCATTTGGTTCTGTATACGCGTTCTCTTTTGCACTTGCAGCTTGCGCAAATAGTCCTTGTTACACACCATTTTAAAAGGTTCCGGCGGCCAATAATGCTCAGCACCCAATGGCTGCAACTACCCATTATACGTGTCTACGTATGCAGCAATGCTGTATTGCCTATTAATATAGTTGGTTGCCCCTAAATAAACTTGTTGAAAGCACTTCAAGGCATGTGCGCAAGGCATGTGGTAGATGGTCCATTTCCCACATGAACACAACCTGCTGGCTTCATTCACCGTCTGTAGATTATTCCCCCGATGTCTGCGGATAGCGGTCTTAACTTCAAAAATACCCCAGTCGTGATCGTACTGTAAAAATGAATGTCAATGTGCTCGCCTCCTGTACCTTTCAAATCTTCTCATCGGTATTGGTATAAATTGAACACCCTTGTCCATCAATGCTGATGCAGCTCAATGCCTTTCAACAAACCTCTCCACAATCTGTTTGAATGTCATGCGGACCATGGTAGTGACAGGCAATCCACGGGTAGACTTCAACAAGCCGTTGAATAACTCCGACACATTTGTAGTCAAGGCTCCCCATCGTCTACCGCCATCAGCATGCAATGTCCACATGTGAAGTTCATGTCCCATCAGCTAAGTATAGGCTCGTGGATCTAACTGTCGGATCGCTTCCATGCGCCTCATGAATTTAAACTGCTGGTGCTCAGTTGCAGCCATCCGCATTAAATCATGCCAGGCCTTGTGAGGATATTTCTTCTGGAAATTGGCCTTCAGGTGCTTCACACAGTAACGGTGGTATGCATAGGGTTCCTGCCATTCAGGAAAATATCGTACAGAACTTAAAATACCACCATGTCGATCAGATATTAGACAAATACCTAAACGTTGTTTGACAATGTGCTGCTTTAAATGGTTCAAAAATGCGTCCACGTCTCTTCGCTTTCGTTGGCACAAATGGCAAAAGCTAGTGGAAATATTTGTCTGTTGGCATCTACTGCAACTGCAATCAAAAGCTTAATATCATACTTTCCATAGACATGAGTATCGTCTATGGAAATTATAGGACGACAATGCACAAAACTATCAATTGCTGGTTTAAATGACCAGAACACATAGTTGAAAATATATTCGGGTCTGTCCGGACTCTGCTCACACCTCCATTCAACAACAATATCGGGGTTAGAGTGTTGCAATGCAACCATGTACCTGGGCAGAGATGAAAAAGACTTATCCCAGTCGCCATATATAAGTTCAAAGGCACGTTTGCGACTGAGATATGCCTTTCTTTTGGTTATAGTACAACCATACTCCTGGTGGACGACTATAATACACTCTTTAATCTTGAACCTAATGGACACTTCCAAATATGGAATCAAGATAAGAGAAATCAAGTCTACATCCAGGTTGAAGTGATTATCATTGAATGTGTCCAATTCACATCTGTGGGTGCTAATAAATTTACCCACTTTCCACAACCCTGATTTCTTCTTGCTGGCACGTAACATCCAGTGACAACCCATAAAGTCTCTATGGCATACAACCTTGTATACTTCCGTAGTTGACTCCCTTACCGTCATCTCACGACACTCTCTTACACTGTAGATTTTTACAGCCCCGATTAGGCGAGCTTTATCGGGGAAATACATGCCCTTTGCCAGCACCGCCGGTCTAGACTTATCCCACATTGCTGACCGAATTTCGTCATCATCCCTTGTGAGGGCATCCACGTCCGGCATACTTGGTAGATTATCAAGGTAGGGAATATTCCGCTCATGAAACGACACGTGAAACTCGTACACTCTTGGTCTAACGGGAGGTGAAGGAGCATGCTCCCTCGTCAGCTCAGGTTCGGCATCCACTTCCTCCTCGTCATCACCCTCATCAAAGGAAGGGTAAATCATCTCCAGACTCATCGGCATTATTGTCATAATCACTATCATGTTCCTGACTCTGCGCATCTGCCAAATCACGAGTCAATACGTCATATATGGGCAACTGTGTGAGGTCAGGAACATCAAGTTGCTCGTTTTCACTGCACAAAAAGAAGAAAATGATAAGCTACTCAACTAGATAAATACTTTACATATAGCTATATCACTTTACTTACAATTCGTACTGTGTTGATGTTCCATAATGGATATTTTTTTGTTGGTGATGACTCCCGGATGGACCACCGCTGTCCAACACGCCAGAACTACGCATATTCCAACTAGGAGCGGGGTTATAACTTGTAAAATTCATATCCGGACGGTACCCCCGATGAAAAATATGAGTGTTAATACAAATCCAATTCAAACATAAAATAAAAATCGCTAAAATGTTGAAAAATTGAAGTTTACCGGCCGTCTTGTGGATTATATAAAGTCGAAAATTATTTTGTGGCTGCTTATTCGCCGGTGGTGACAAGTTTAAATCAAGGCAAGATCTTTCATCAGGAGTCTGTCCGGCAAAAACTGCTCCAGAATAACCACCCGATGACTGGGGGTTATCCTTACTATGCACACCCTCATTATTGTCTTCAACCTTGACGCACATTTCCAATAATTTTATTACAATAAATTCCCTATATTCATTCAGAATCCGCAAAAAATCTCTAAGAGTTTCATCATCTTCGATGCTAAACTCAGAATAATAAGCAAACCCCTACGGACTCACAGAATATGGAAATCTACCGGTTACTTTAAGATTCACCGAATGTTTTCTCACACTCATTTTTTTACATAACAATGATACCAATTTATCATACTCCATTGTAAGCGGCAATTTAATATGACACTGTGGAGGTGAACTATACCTCACAGAATTATTCTCCATTACAACCTCACCCCCCGCAATATAATGAAACCCTTATTTTTTGCTCTTTAGACATTATAAAAAAATGTTTGATAAGAAGAAGAGAAGTAGGAACAGAAGTTTGAAGGAAAGTTTTGAATGGATTTTCATAAAATTCTAACGCCTTTAAATAAGACAAGTCCTAGCTTGAGTTGCAGAATTTTTTTAATGTAAAACGCAGTATAATACCACGTTTTATGTATTTGAATTATTGTTATGTCAGTTATCTGCAGAACACTTATTGGTGGGCCCAAAAATTAGTGTAAAATGCAGTATAATACTACGTTTAAGTAAAACGTAGTATTATAATACGTTTTACACTAACAAATTGTTAGTCCTGCAGAACACTTATTTGGTGGGTCCAAATTGTTGTAAAACACAGTATTATAATGTGTTTCAGTAAAATGCAGTATAATATTGTGTTTTACTTTAATGACTAACTTTCCATTAAAGTAAAACGCAGTATTATACTGCATTTTATGGAGAAATATAACCTATTTTTTTAACTGTATAGACGTATTTTATTTTGGAAAAGGCATCATTTCAGTTTCCCATTCAGCATCTCTCTATATGAATACTTAATTCAAAGGGCTCAGCTAACTAAAAGAAAAGAAAAAAAGAAAAAATTGGGGTCATATGAGAATGACAGTCCAAGTAATTGAAAGCTTTAGCTACTTTTAGGAAAGGCAAATGTCATATATAGTTGCTACCTCCAATTCTAAAAAGGACAGCCTCTGCAGCAGTTTCCGGTCTTTTTGTTTGTTTGCTTTTTCACTTTTATCGACATATTACAATTATTCTATGTTTCTTATTCTCCATCAACAAAATCAAAAAGCAAAACAAGAAAAATAAAAAATTTAAAGAAACCAACTTTTACTCTGTTCATTAGCTATTCTTTTGACTCCATTCTACTTGTTCTTATTCTAGCTAGAAGTAGGAAACAATGTTCTTACACTTTGTGTTAAGTGTGTTTCCTATGTGTATATGAAATTACCACTTACTATGTTTGTGAGTTTGTCCTTCTTCTTCTTCTTTACTGCAGTTTCTGTTTGTTTAATGAAGCATCTATTTGAAATGACAGCTTCTTTCATTCTTGCTTTTGTTTGTTATTTCAGGTTAATCCAATGGTTTTAAGGTGACACTCGTTGGCATTTTCTCCCTTTTTTTTTTTACCTCAAAGGAGTAGTAAAAATTCAATCTTTATCAAATATAACAGTGTTATTTTGGACATGGCTCAACAGGTATTTGTTTTGTCCCATTGTCACTGTTTTGCAATTGTTGCTTATATTGCTCGTTTCTATTGTTTCTTCTCATTTTTTCTTGAGCTGATGGTATATCGAAAACAAACTCTTTATCTTTTCATTGTAGGGTTAAGGTGTGCGTACATTCTATCGTCCCTAGACTCCACTTGTGCGATTCTGCTGGGTTTATTGTCATTTTTTGCTGTGTGCATTGGGTAAACCCCTATTGTGTAATAGCCTCCAAACCACACAGGGAATGTAAACCGCACTAGGAAAGCTATGTGCGACAGACCAATAAGGTCATCTGTATGGATGACCGCCCTCAAAACCAACTGGACCATCCGAAGGGACAAGGTTTATTGTTGTTATCATTGTTTTGCAATTTACCACGTGGGGTTTCTATTTTGTGAAGAGGGGTTGTGTTTTCTCCTTATAATTTGTAGTGAGAGTAGTCCATTCATTACATTGTAAAATTGTCCTTGGTCAGATTCTTGAATTGATAGATGGAAATTAATCCCCACTACTATTTTAGCTAGTTTTCTTTATTGTACTTATTCTTTTTTTCTTTTTTCATTTTGAATTGTTGATTGATTTGATGGAGCAGGAAGAAGGGTGGCCATTGGGATTGCAGCCACTGAATATGAGAATAGGTTTGGGTAGGAGCAGAGATTTTTCTGCTGGTTCAACTTCATTCAACACTTCACTCAGTGAGTCTCTTACTTCCTCCACAGATTCTTCATCAGATTTGGACACTGAGGTCAGTTCATACTTCAACTTAACATACTATTCATGCACTACTTTTCTTTTAGTTTCATTAAGGGAAGCCTTAAAACAACAGTAAAGTTGTCTATAGGTCACATATTTGAGCAATGGAAACATCGACTAATACTTGTATTAGAGCAGACTGTCTATATCACACCCCCTTAGGTGCGGTCCTTCGGCGGACCTTTGTGAATGCGGGATGTCTTGTGCATCGGACTGCCCTCTTTCCCACCCACCCCGTCCAATCAATATATCCCATTAACTTATGTACACTGACAGTGTAAATGTTTTTTATGCAATAACCTACAACAATGGATAATTGTCTATAGCTAGCCTAATTTGATAATTTAAAAAATGACACAAATAAGTTATATATAACCAGTTAAAGTATACTGATTATATAAAATTCATTTCATTATCAGGATATATAGGGTGAAATTCATTTACCAATTGCAGTGTGAAAAATTTAAATAGTCAAATAAAGCTACAGCATGTGTCTTGCTTAACCTTTGTAACATTCCTGTGGATTTATGAGTATTATATATTGTTGTTTATTAGGGATAATAAAGAAAGGATAAGTGAAAATGTGAAAAGAATGTAAATACAAACAATCAAGATCATAATAAATTGGAGTAGTTGAAGTTTATCAAAAGGAATTAGAATCAAAAGTAGATTGAATAAGATAGGAAAGCTAGCCACATAGAGTACTTGTTATTTATTGAAATGTCCTTTGTTTTGTGTCTAAATCATATAATGCACCTGGATATTTTCAACTTTCATTAACAGTTTCATGCATGTTGTGAAGTATTTTTGTGAGTTATGTCATGTCACTCTGTGTTCAATGTAAGTTGGGACCATAACATTATTAAAGCTGTCATGGTGTCCCTTTAGTACATTGACATGAAATCCTTGGATGCTTTTAATGAACCTCAATTATAAGGGCTGTGTAACATGTTTCAACTTTAATTTTCTTCTTGTCCTAGATTCTTGAGTAGTTCATCTTGATTGTTCTACTTGTACTGATTTGAATCTAAAACTACCCTAATGTTGCAGCAGCAGTAGTACATGAAAATTTAAAGTTATACGTATCATGGTTCTCACTAGGACAAGTTTATCTCTAGACTAATTACTTGAAGAAACCTATACCAATCTTTTAATTTTATTCAGAACAGTGGCGTACGCAAGATATTAGGCAAGCCGTGTCGGTTTATAGTCACAATTCGGCTTCTAACCGAGATTGAGTGTGAGACTGCGACGGTTTTAAGACTTTGCTTTTTGTACCAAAAATTACTTATCTTGCATTATTTTAGGTGGTTTCCTGGTTCCTTATTATTACATGTGTCATTTGCTCCTATTATATTGTAGTTGCTACTATTTGTCACTTTATTTTACTGTTTCTTGAGTCGAGGGTCTATTAGAAACATTCACGCCAGGAAGTCCCACATTAGGGGGGG